GAACATTAACATTAACAATAACACAGAGATTCGTCAGGTGACACACCCACAACAGTCAACAGTAACATAATTACCCTTGTGATGGTAATCTGAGGCAATGCAATCAAAACACAAAACACCCATAGTAGTAATCTGAGGCAATGCAATCAAAACACCCATAGTTGGAACAAGAAAATGACTCAGCCAAGTCAGACTTTCAGGAATTCACAAGTCACCTTTAGAAATGTATATTTTAGAAACACTCATTATGTTAAAAAATGTCACATCTTGAAAAAATGTCTTTAATTTGGTGGAACTATTTCATTATGTGGTACCCTCGTTATTTGTGTTTAATCTCAACAGTGCAGACATTTCCATTTAAGCAACTGGCAAGCACTCGTGGATTTCTCTCCCTTACTTCCTCTCATTCTCCCTTGCTGAGTGCAGTTGATATTTGGGCCATCTGTTGGCAGTTTCATTTGATAAAGTAAGTTTCTAAAGTAGTGGAGGCATCAAGTCATGCAAAAGGTTCATCTCTAAACATACTATATTTCACATACGTGTCTATCTATAGATTTCTTTGCCAAATGTAAATACTAAGCAGACCGCCTGCCATGAGTGTACAGTATATTACCTTATGGCACAATTATAAATTCAAATGTTGTATTCAAATAGGCCTCCATGGAGTTTCTCCAGATCACAAATCAGAAATGTGTTGGAGCTTACTCACGTGCTGCAGTGAGCTAATTCACTGAGATTTAGTGCGATTATTCTTAGACACTAAGTTTCCTTGTTTTTTAAAGGAAATCTAGAGGAAATGAAACCCAGTTTTGTCAGTAGAAACTGTGCCTTGCAAAAGAATTCCCTGGTTCAGAAGTGAAGCACCATCATTTCAAAAGCCATTTTAACTTGTGCAAAGGGATACAGCAGGTTGTCCACCAATCTCAGGGTTGGCGGCTCGACCCATGGTCTCTCCAGACAAGTGTCTGGGGTCAAGACAATGACCCCAAGTTGCTCCCAGTGGCCAGGACAGTGTCTTGTATGACAGCTCTGCCACCATCAGCATGTGAATGGGTGGCAGCAGTTGTGAAGCTCTTTGTCTGGTAAGGTCAAAGCACATTAATGGCAACTCCATTTTCCTCTGGTAGTGCAACCTAAAATGGATGAGACAAGGGCATAGTTTTGCATAGGACCCTGTACCTACCATTAATTTGGGAGGACAGAAATGTCTCTACTAATATTTGAACAATACATGCCCATTATCTTTGGATTGAGGCTACGTCAACAAGACTGCATGCTAGCATTTGATTGAATGAAAGAGAGAGGGCAATCTGAAGCTTAAGTTACATGCAAATATTTAGTCATAGACATGGGGGAGGTTTTTTCACCACCTAGAAAGTAAAAGACTAGAAAGTAAGCTAAACGGCCAGTAGCCACATTGATTTAAAATGAAAAGCTGTTAGACACCACACTAGCAAGCTAACCCTGCCCTCTGTTATCTGTAGACTAGCGGTCATGCTGCTAGCTGGAGTAAACAGAAAAAAAGTGGGTGACTCAAACTACGAGTTGAATTTCATTCTAGAGACCCCATGAAAATGTTACAATTAACACAGCACCAGGCTTGGAGGAAGTTGTGTCCCTACAAAGGTAGAGACCAAACCTACACCCTTAGTATGAAATCTGTCTCTCTCATCTAAGGAGGCTAGGGAGAAAAAAAAAAACTTGCATAATGGGCCTAGGATATATAATCAGCACTGAGCAATGAAAGGAGAAAAGCAGGCAATAATTTCATAGAAAAAAATAATTGGAGATGGCAAAGAATAAGAATCATTTTTCCACAGATGATTAATCCGGATGATAGTTTTTTACAATAACAAAATGGAAATGACTAGTGCCACTGGGAGCTATAGGTGTGTTGGAGAGACAGAATAATTGCTCCCTTTGAGAATCGGAGCTGTTTGTAGGATGAGCAAATCAGTTTTAGAAAAAGGCTGCCATCAAATGTGGCAGGACCACAGCACACATTCATTACCCACATCGGACAGACAGACAGATAGGCCTACAGACCCAGAAACACCACAGAGAGGCTGACATACTGTACATGTACAGGCGTAGTGCTGCCAGAATGCACAACGACACAGTTTAATGTTGAATACAGATCCCGTCTACAAAAGACAAATGAGAGAACAAAACTCAGATCATCCAGACTGACAAACTAGGATATGAGCTCCAGGAGGGGCCGTGGAGATGCAGCGATCAGCAGCAGAAACAAACTTTACTTTTAACAGACAGCAAGTGATGCTGTGATGTACTGTAAACAGATTGTTTTGAGTGATCAGCTGTAGGCCAACAGTACATGACACCAGCAGGGCACAAACTGTGGCACATGCTGACAAGTTGCGAGCCCCGCGCACAGCTGATGTGTTCACTGTTGTTGGTTGACATGAAAACCAACGTGAAGCAGGAGGAGTTAAGTGAACATTCAGTACGTTTTGGAGTCGGTTGAACACTTTTGAGCAGAGAGAAAACATCTACCTTCCTATAGCTTTATGAGGCATTTTATGACATGTCAAATATTTCTTTTTCATATTTGGGGTTGTACATGTCCCCCCGGCGCCGGGGTAGAATACGTCCTATGACAAATGGCTCCTAATTCACGTTGCTATTCTGCCACACCAGAGAATAAAGTCATGCCAATATTTGATCTTGTGGACAATTACAGTTGCATCCATAGGAAAAGTGTTTACATGGCTCTCAAAACAAGCAAAACATCTTAATCCTGCACACGCGTCATAGTAGGTGCGCTCTGGCGCTTCCTCTACACCCATGTATGAGGAAAAAACAAATACAACAGAATTACATCAGAACAAATTGAAAACTATTGATTAAACTTTGGAATTCTACAGCTTTGAACATCATATAAACTGTTCTTTGAGAATCTGTTCATTCAGAAACCATCAGTTTATTTGTATGAGCAGCTGTTACTTGACAATACCGTATTTAAGTTTGTCATTCCGATGCATTCATCAATCACACTCTCAGTGACAGTATTGACTGTTGTTTTTTTCTTTAATCTGGTCTAAATTGGCTTATATGAATGGAGTGAACCTGGCTGACATCAATACAGCTGTTTTAATCTGCTGCTGTCAAAGCCAGACTTTGATTAATGCTGCTGTCTCTCTGATCTCAGCCATCACAGCATGCCATGGCGTTCTGTATTTAATACAGCTTCAGAGGTACTGTACCTGTATGCTCAGTAAGACTGATATGAATAGCAAATATGTGGGCAAAGTCTATGAATTTGTCACAATGAATCAGGCTACAAGGTTGACATCCTTGTTTCACAAATCAATAATTTTGTAATCATTTCAATTATCTCTTTTAATGGAAATAACATGCTCAGTGTCTGAAATGAGAAAGATATATTTGTGTGGCATGAAATAATTAATACATGCAAGTGAAATGATGAGAAACCAAGTTAATTGAATGCTATGGTAAAACATAAGAAGTGTGAGGAAGCATGACAGATGAACATTTCTTTTCAAATCTCCCTAGAGGATTAAGAGATAAGTCATATCCTATGTCTGTCTTAATATTAACTATTTATGGCACAGTAAAATACACAACTCTCAGGTTTTTGGATTCTGCACACATGCACTAACGCACAAATGTAAATGCACAAATGTTAGTACTGATAAGGAATTAATGACTCATAGGTTAACAAATAAATTCATCTAGTACAATGAACAAAACCTACAAGAATACGAATGCCTTAGCAACAGTAAGAGCCAGACAGCATAGTCACCTCTCTCGTTCCTGATAAATGCTCCCTAGCTGACTGTATGTTCCCACTTAACAACTTTTCCTCTGCTGATTTTACTTACCAGCTCATTCTCCATCATACAAGTGGGGCATCAAGTTTGCTGCTGAGATAAGATGGAAGGACCACCAAACAATACTGCAAGAAATTCTGACAACGGGCCCTGGAGCATCTGCTCAATGCATATTTCTGTTCATCAAGCCATGTTCACAGGCTCTTTTTTTTTGTCAGTGGGAGCCAAAATTAAAAACAGCGCCAACAGCAAGTGTCATTCAGTTTTATGTTGTACTGAAAAAGATGTTTTTTAAAAGTACAAAAATTGTCATGTCCAGGAGTTTTCTAGACTGAGTTTATGATTTCACAACTGCTCAGACAGTTCATACAGCTTGGCACAGCTGTTAATCTCAGATCCAGAATGCTCTAATACAACTAAAACACTTCATACACATGTCAGAATCAACTCTTGTACACAGGGCAGTGTTTGTCTCCCATTTGCAACACTTTTTCAAGCAAAACACGATGACATAAAAACACAAACAACAGGCAGCATTATAATATAGATCACTATTATCTTTGATGCATCTTCTATTAACTGATTTGGAACAATTTGAGATTTCATTTTAGCAAAAAGAATGGCACTTCTTCATTGCATGGATTGTGCTACGTTACAGTATTTTATTTTCCTCTTTCTCTCTGCATCTGCCTTGCTCACCCCTTCTCTTTCTCCCTCCCTCCTGTCCTTTGCTGCAGTCCGCCACTGTTGTTCCATTGATACTGTGCATCTCCTGATACCACTACACCTCAGCAGTGGGAGGCTAATTTATCTCACATTAACAGGTGCAGTGCAGGCTCCCACCCTCTTTGTGTGTCTGTGTCTGCTTCACCCGCTCAGCTTTGTCTGCAGTGTTCTCCCTGCACCAAATAGCAGCGTGTTTCTATTTTTCTTATTTAACAAGTAATGTGTAATGACTATACAGCCTTTGTTTGCCACACACACATTATACTGATAAAACAAATTTGGCAGAGCCCAAATTCAGGTGCATTCTGACAAACAGTTGTGAAAATGACATAACTGATTACTGATTCCCATTTCATTTTTATTAATTTCATTCCACTAGCACAGATCCACAATGTTTTTAGCAACACCTGTTCTGTCCCTACACTGATAAGTCAAACGTGTGTAAAAGGCCTGTTTAGCATGCTGGGTACTTAGGTAATTAAATGACACAGAGCCATCATCAGGGTTATTACTTTCACCTGTGTGTTTCAACTAATTTACAACAAGTCAAACTTTGTAGTGAAATTTGTCTATTTTAACGCCTATGTTTGATGATAGAGTGCTGAAAGCGAGCAGATGCACTGAGTAACACTCATCCAAGATAATTTTTCAACTTCATATCATCAGTGATATTTCTCTGATGAATATTAAGTGTCTTCACCTCAGCAGCTACAGTCAAGTAACTTGAATTAACAACATATCCAGTACATTGACATACTTTGCTTTTAATTAGTTCCAGCTAATTTTATTCTTTCTCACTGTATTAAAATCACAGTTTTTAATATTTGAGTCTCTTTATTCTCTGTTTTCTTATAATCATATGCAAAGCACTTGGTAGTTTGATTTCAAACTGTCTGCATGAAAACGCATTAGTATTATTGGTTCATCTAAATCATGTATTATTAATTTTATTAATTGTAGCTGCCTATTATATGAATTATGTGGGTTTGTTATTGAGGCACACAGTGGTTTAGACAGAGAATTACAAAGAAATAAAGACTGTTGAGGTAATATGCAATAAAGATCAGTCAACTGTTGCCTTCCTTGATATAACAATCAGTGTGCAAAGCAGCCATATGTGATCACCCTAAATTCACAAATGGCAGAGAAGCACACTGACATTTATAGGGAGGTTTAAATCACACATATCATGGGACAAATGAATTTAAACCAAGTGTTCAGTGAAGGGATGTGACAATACAAGACAGATTGCTTTTGACAGGGCCATAAAATGAAAGGACCCTTCAGTGACCTCATTACTGCCATTCACGACCAGAACATATGTATTCATTATTTTTCCTTCACCTCTTGTTTATATCCACCAAATTCTCTTTCTCTCCCCCTTTTTATAATTGCCTGACTCCAAATCAATAACATGCACTTCTTGTGCTGATTAGAATGTTACCAGGAGTGGAAACACAGCCAAGGGTATAAAAGAATTCCAGATTATACTGTCTGATAAGTTGCTGTTTAGTAAGAACTGCCAGGCAAAACAAATGCACCAATAAGAGCTCCTGAATATTGAAATATGGAGACATTATTTGGATGCAGAGGACATCTCTGAAGGACACAGATTAAAGCACTGTGGTAATTAGGTTCAAATCTGCATGTATGACATTATTTGGCATCATTTGATACGCAATACACGCTTAAAAAAAAAAAAAAAAAGAAAACGCTACAACCACTCTGCAAGGGCACATTTGTATTTTCTCCTAAAATCTTTAGAGTACTGCTTTACCTTCCTCTGTCCTTAATATGTTCACTGGTCTCAGATCATCTCCTCTTCCAACATCATTCCCTTTTCAGTAACAACACACTATTTGCTTTTCATTTCCAGTGCAATATCAGTGCACACATGCTTCCTTTTAGTATCAAAAAGCTGCCTGTGCTTGATGGTGTTTGAATAGGGAGGGGTATGCATGAAAATTCATAAGACATTGTAGACTGTCCAAACGCAAATACTTTGAGAGCAGCTACAGTTGAAGGCAGAGCGAAAAGCCTACAGTCATACACACAATAATCATTCCAGTGTGTGGATAACCGCACACACTTTCTGATTATCTTTCCTCAAAGGTATTCTTTGTAGGATTGTGTGATACAGTGATTATGGAGACGCAGAGATAACAAAGGTTTATGAACTTCTCTCAATATCTCTGTTTTCATTATTCATACAACTATTGTTTGAAACAGTGTACCTTTATCCCCATTTGTTTGACTCACTGTTTCTTGTCCTTCCCTGTCACTGTGGTCTTTTTGCCCTGTCTTCAAATGCGGCCATTTGGGACAGGTATAATCAAATGGGATGTGCTGAGATCACAGTTTACACAAGGTATACTGAACCTAATAAATATACCTCTGCATAAACAATGGAAACAAAAAGAAAAAATTATCCACATTTAGTGTTTTCATGGGAAATACATATTCCGTTTGAACCCACTGCACTAGGTTTGATAGAAACTACAGTAAGTTCAGCCATTTCATAAGTAACGTCTTTGAAAAGACGTTACTTATGAAAAAAACTATTAACTGGTTTGAAGGGTTATCACTGGCTATTTGAAATGTATCATTTCAATCTATCCAGCAGAAGCAGAGAGTACTCTGACTCACCATGGAATCAGTGAGCTTTTTGTATTTCCACCCTTACTAACTCAACATGCTTTCCAGTGAGTGGAAAGAACATTTGCCATCTGAATAGTCCTTCAGAATTTAGGAAAATACTGGCACTGCAATTTTTTGGGAAAGGAGCTTATAAAATGTCAAAAAAAAACAACTAACTTGTCTGCTTCAGCATCTGCAACTGATCACTGCTGCCAGTCCAAAACATCTAATTTATTTATTTATTTAAAAAAAATGTAGCTCTTTCTATTATCTGTTATTTAATTTCACAGTTTCTATGGTGCTTCCCCTGTAATGTCTTTACCTTGTTTTGTTGTGCCCCCTCATATTGCCCCAATCCACTCACCATATTTTGACGATAAGCAGGAGAACCAGCTGGTACATGATTCACCTGTGTAATTATCAAAAGCGCTAAGTAAACCAGTTCCATTAGCCATTTAAACACAAAGGGTGAAAATGGGCGTGAGGAATTTGTTTTTCACACTTCAACACATACACATAACACACACAGACCTCCAGTGATTCAACACGAGGTACAAGGTCATGGCATTTTCACGTCAGGACAGGATGAAAATAGCAAGAGGGCCATGAGCTGAACAGAGTGAGGCACAGTGAGTCAGTGGGCTGAAAACGTATATAAAATGAGTCAGTGGGCTGAAAGCAGAAGGTGGGTTGTGGGAGCATGTGTGCATACCTTATATTCTTTCAAGAGGAAGAGAACAGAGAAGGAGTCAAAGAGATGTTCTCAGGTTTTTAGGGGGTCAGCTTGTAGGTGGTGTAGAGAAGCACTGCAGGTCCCTGTGGATGTTCACAAACTGTTCTTAAACTCCAAACACAGGCTCAAAATACCCCTAACCCTTTATTGCAGTTAGATTCATTCTCCCTTCCTCAGACACACACAGTTTCACTGCGTTTTTGCAAATACCATCTGCTTTTACTCTGTTTTGCTTTGATAATAGGTATTGTACAGTTTATACATTTGGTGTTATACAAGCTATTGCAATCTATTATAGAAAATTATGGAAATGTGTAAAAACATTATGTAATCAGAAGGGGCATTTCAATTGCATCTAACTGTAGTCTAATAACAGATACTGCAATACCCAGCAGCCTCATTAGATCTGCCACAGCAATACAAATGGGTGCTGTACAAAATGAGGAGAGGTGGTGCGAAGGATGGTGCGAGTTGGCAGCACCAGCTTTTCCACAGAGAAACACTGTCCTCTTGTGGTAAACAATGAGAGACTAAAGGACATATAAATGGGTCAACTTGAATAATTAAATGTTTGGCAAGGAAGACCAGTTCTTAACTACAAGACAAGGCAAAGAAGTTTCCCACGTAACACAAACAATGTGTGTTAATCCAGCTTTGATAAAACCTTTCCACTGCAGCAGTTTAAATGGTTATATTTAAAAGTGTCAGTCAGAATATTATGGAGTATATGTTAGGTTTGTAGGAATAGCACACAAAAAGTGGATGAAGTAGCAGAAAAGTAGGGTTGCATGCCACACAAGATTATTTCACATTATTCTGGAATTTATTTTCTTGATAAATCTGTATTTCTTTTTATTATAAAATGTTCACTTGTTTGTCTGGACATTTCCTGACAATTGATTAATTAACTAAACTTCTCTGCTTTACAGAAAGGTTTATCAAATATAAGACTTTACATGCAACCAATATTTAGATGGACATAACTATGTGCAGAACACAAGCTAAAGCAAAAATTCACTGCCTTTAGAAATTAAATAACAAGGAGTGAAAAAGAGGCCGTCATTTGATGTTTCACCACAGAAGAAGACTGAGCTCCGTCGACCCCTTGGTCATAGAAGTGCAATAAATAGAAGATGCTCTTGTAGCTCTATATTGGTTAAGTATTCACTGTAGTTAAATCAGTTTCCGTCGACTATCAGATGAAGACACAGTTTATATGAGCATTAGTCTAATAGGTGACAGCGCACGAACATCAATAAAATTAGGACTCGAATTAGGATGTCCGTGAAGTGGACGTACCGTTCTATACGATCATGTTCTATTCCAAGGTTCCCACTCCCGGAAGTCGCCGCCCACGTCACATTCCTCATAGCGCGAAAACTGTATTTAAGCTTTGAGCTGCACAATAACAACAGTCTGAGGTTGGTTTCAGTTTATTGTATAGAAATGGCTACAGACTTCCACTAGTGTACTTGCTGGTACTACTTCGCAAAGGTTTACTCTGCTGAACAGCAAATGTTAACTGTTAAAACTGCAACGTAATGTAGCATGAAAGCCAAACTTGGCTACATCGTTAACTTAGCTAGCGTGCTAATAAAAAATAAAAAAAAAAGACTTAGCTAGCGTGCTGCTAAGTTCAGTGTGTAACGTTAGTTTTCCAGATATGTTGCCTATATATTCAACATAAGAATATGAGGACATTAAGATAATTAAAATATATTCGCTTAAAATATAGTTTGGTTTGAATTTAATCTCTGAACACATTTATGAAGTGTGAAAGAAATTAAAGCGAATAAACCCAGCGTTCCTACCTTGACCACTGGTGCATATATATTCCCATTAGGAAATCATGTAACATTCAGAATGAATGATCTTTCCTAACTTGCTATAACTTTGAAGCGACGATAATTTGGTCTTGAAGTTTGCTGTAACGTTACTGCGGGTACACATACGTTTGTTTGTTTTCCCTTTCTTCTTCTGTAGTTCAAGTCAGTGTAGGCCCAGTCTTCTTCTGTAGTTCAAGTCACTGTATACCCAACTAGGCGTATTAAGGTGAATTAAGTTGGGTTATTTTGGTGTGGTAGTAGGTAGGGGCCGTTCTGATCAACACTCCAGTCTGGAAGGTGGTGGTAATCCACCTAAAGCTGGTTGCCAACCGCCATTAATAATAGAAGAAGAAGAAGAAGGCTTATTACTGCCCTCCACAGATTTTTTTCATATCCTTGATTATACGCTGGTATTAAAAAAAAAAAAAAATTGAATAACAGCCCTTGCAATCACTTGGTGGTACTCAGGTGGACCAAGCAATGTAGCAAGAGAAAAGCAAGAAATCCCTAAATCAGAGAATTTTTTAAAATAGTTTACTTCTCTCCAAGGCATACTTCCTGCATATTATCAAAACATGTGGAACTGTCTCAGGACTACCACAATCACATAATCAATTTGAATGTTTCCCTACTATCTGCAGACATTTGTTTAATCCACAATGGCCATGTTTCCTTCACTTGCGCCCGTTCCTTTCGTCTAGTTCTGCCCATGTAAGGTGCAAGGAAAAAATAGGAGGAGAGAGGAATCGAGGAAACATGTTACTCTCTCATCAGTTTTCATCACTGCTACTCATGCTCAGCGACTCACCCTCTCTGTCTTTCTCTTTCAAACAGCAAAAATGTCAAAAATTGACAGGATGGGCATCCTTGGGGTGAGGAGCTTTGGGATTGAGGATAAAGACAGACAAGTAATCTCTTTTTTTACTCCTTTGACTGTGCTGGTTGGACCTAATGGAGCAGGGAAAACGGTATGAGACCACATCTTGACTTTTGACAAGACCAAAAGTTGAGTGTGAAGTGTGATCTGCAGAGAACTAACAGTAAATTGCGCACTGTGCTTTTGAGTTGACACCTGTACTTTGATTTGTTTTCTTTTTTTATATCTTGCAGGTAGCCACAGAAAAAGTTGGATGTAATACATTTCAAAATGATAAATGTAACAATCTTATTTTAATTCTTGGTTTGTTGTGTTTTAGACTATCATTGAGTGCCTTAAGTATGCAACATCAGGGGAACTTCCTCCTGGATCTAAAGGAGCTGCATTTGTTCATGATCCAAAGGTGAGCTCACTGTCCAGTTAACCTGACAGTTAACTGATCATACTATATGTTCTTATTATTGAACTGACTAGTATAACTTTTAATAATGATATATATGTCACTGTTTCAGTGTTAGGCCTTGTACCAGAGGCAGAATACATACTTAAAATGAAGCAGTGGTGGACTTTTGAGACAAATTATGATTTACTGGATGGGTTTGGATGAAATTGTGACTGCTTTATCATTACAACAAACTTGTGTATAGCTGTTTTGTCCTTAGTATTTTAATCTTTCTCACCTAATAAAAGATGCAGCATTCAGAGGTGCCTTGTGCATCAAAAGGTTAATTTAAGTCATGTAACAGTAAGACTCCTCTATACATGCACTTTGTCAGTATGTGAGAAACTAATCTACAAATCTTGTCAGTTCTTGCCTGAGATTTAGCCAATTAAGAAATGGAAATTAATTTGTGTTCATATATTCATGCATTTGTTCATTCATAAAGGTCTCATGACCTGTTTTTGTACTTGCTTTAGATTTGTCTAGAACTTAGAAATGTACCAAAGCTGCTTCTTCAGGTCCCATCAGATGAGTGGCTTTCACAGGATGTCTTTGTGAAATTAAATTTATGCTGTGTGAATTCCAGGATGCCCATGAGACAGATGTGCGAGCACAGATTAAACTCTTATTCACGGATGTTAACGGAGAGAAAGTGACCATCCAACGCTCCATGTGCTGTACTCAGAAGGCAAAGAGCTACACCTTCAAAAGCTTAGAGCAGGTCATCACCAGAATGAAGTAGGCCACAGTCTCAAGTTTCTTTAATCATTGTTTTGATTAATATTCCCTAGATTTTTAGGTTTTATAACCCTTTCTTTACATGTGAACCTATCATCATCCACCCAGAGATGGTCAAAAGCTGAGCTTGTCATCTAAGTGTGGTGAACTGGACAGAGAGATGATTTCTTCATTGGGTGTATCGAAGCCTGTGCTGAATCATGTCATCTTCTGCCACCAAGAAGAGTCTAACTGGCCACTCAGTGAAGGCAAAGCACTCAAAGACAAGTTTGACTCCATTTTCGCTGCAACCAAGTGAAGTCCACACATTCTTATATTTTTGTCTGTTTCTGTTTTTTTGAAAGCCATACCATCACATTAGCTAAAATAAAAGAACACATGCACCCCAGTGAAACTACTAACCTTCGTTTGCCATTCAGATATTGCCATTATGGGGAAACTCTGTATTACTACCTGTTTTTATTTCTCCCAGGTATATAAAAGCTCTGGACACGATGCGTCAGCTGCGTCTCGCGCAGAGCCAGACAGTCAGAGAGTGTCAGGTAGAGCTGCGCTACCTGAAGCAGAACAAGGAGAAGGCCCAGCAGATAAGAGAAACAGTGGCTACCAAGGAGGCTCAGCTGATGGCCTCTAAAGACAGCGTCCAGAAAATAGAGAGTCAGATTAATCCATTGGAGGTGGGTTGATGAAGCACTTATGCTGATACTGTATACAGTACTGTGCACTAAAAGTAAAGCGAGGATCCTTTTACCAAAAATTTAACTTCCTACAAGAAAGTCACTTTCGGCTTTTCCCGTAGAGGGGTTGCCACAGTGAAGATTTGAACAATGTAGAATGTCAAAAATAATGACAGATACCCACCACAAGCCTTGTTTTCTATCTAGACTTTGCAGATATATATGCTGGATTCTGATGCCTATTCCCTCTCAGTTATATGTTGGAATCACTGTACTTAATAGGCATGAGATGAAGGCATGTAGTCAGGAGGACTATAAAGCTCAACATACACTAAGCCCAACAGGTTGTGCCACGTGTAGGTATGAATAAAGTGTAACAGTAATGTCCTTTATGTTCTTATTTAATCTTCAGAATCAGCTGCTCACTATTGACACGAAACTTGTAAAAGTGATGAAGCTGGACAGTGAGGTCAAGGCTTTAGAGAGCAGGAAGAAGCAGATGGAGGAGGACAACAGGGAGCTGGAGGAAACAATGGAACAGGTAGTAATAATGTGTAATGAAAAAAAACCTTAGAAAAAATCAACTGGACTTAGATTTCTAGATTGAAGACATTTCACTTCTCATCCAAGAGGCTTCATCAGTTCTGACTGACTGGTGTTTCAGTCCACAGTTGGATATAAACACCACCGAGGGGGATAAATATCTCCGGCTCAACACCAGTCAGTCAGAACTGATGAAGCCTCTTGGATGAGAAGTGAAATGTCTTCAATCTAGAAATCTAAGTCCAGTTGATTTTTTTCTAAGGTTTTTTCAGTTTACTATGACCTGGATGACTGAGAATCTGCACAGACAAATAATGTGTAATATTTGCATATGTAAACTAACATCAATTTTTACAATGGGAAAAAAGAGAAAATAATTTTGCGGAAAGATTTACTAGGAAATTAAATTGTCAGTGAGTAATAAAAAGTGGGAGGAAACACTGGGTCCAGCACCAGAGTCATTTCTCATTCTTCATAGACACCATAGATTATGGAGACAGCACTTGGCTAAATTGTTTTGTGAAACCCAGCAAGAGGCTTTAAAGATAATTAAGAATAAATTTAAAAGATTAGGTAGAAAATGAAATGCATTAAAAGAAGCTGATGAGGTTAAAAAGAGGAAAACAAGAGGTCTCCCTCTTGAAGAGTTTATTTAGCTGCTTAATAGTACTCCAACTCTTCAGTGAATGGAGTGGTATTACTCTAAATGGAAAACTCAGATGGTGAATGAGGTTGTTGAAGTTCTGTAATGACCAGCCACTTCATCGTTGGCCTATGTGATGCTTCTGTTTCCATGCCTTACAGGAGCCAGGAATCTCTATCCTCCTCCTGTTTGACAGTGGACAGTTGAGTCTCTTGGTTTTTGTATGATAGCGGCGACCGATTACTCCTTTATGTTGATGTTTGTCACAAAGGTGAATTGTCAGTGTGATAATGTGTTAGTTCAAAATTAAAGGTGCTCCAAGCTTTTGTATTTGGCAAAATTATGGCATCTTTTTTTTTTATAAACCACAGTGTATTTTGTTACATAGTACTAGGTATAAGCAAATTGATAATGGATTAGCATTTGTGGATATGTGTGAAATTATGTGTGTTGTCATATCGACTGTCTTTACATGCTTGAAAGAATCAATCAATCAATCAATAGTAGTTGTAATCATAGGTTTCTCCCTTGACAATGAAATGGAGCAATACATTAGAAAAGTGGAGCTACATTAAAGTTGTTTATGATTTGCACCTTGTATTGTGCTGTAAAACAGTTAAATGTCAAGTAAAATCCAGCCTTCCTAGATGTAATGTTCAGTTACACAAGCTCTGTTTTGCCAGTGATATTCTCTGTTTATTGTAGATACACAAATACAGTACCTCAAACAAAATGTAGAAATGATGTAGTGCTCTTTCTATATGCATGCATATTTATGCCTGAAATAGGTGGATGATGTGTCTTCATTCCTTTTTTCCAGGTCATTTTGAAGGATCCAGTAGTGTAAATGTCATAACTCTGACCCTGTCATTTTGCTAAGCTGTAATTTGAGTTCAGAGCCATCCTAAGCAAGTGAACTGTGTTCATGGCAGGTGTTCCAGGGTTCAGACGAGCAGCTGCAGGAGATTTACCAGAACCACCAAAGGACGGTGAGGGAGAAGGAACGGAGGCTGACAGACTGCCAGAAGGAGTTGGAGAGAGCAGACCGGGACTGTCAGAGACTGAATAGAGTCAGGGCAGAGCTCCTGGTAGAACAAGGTAGTCATGTGTACCCTGCACACAAGTACCAGTCTGTGTACCAGGGTAGCTAATCAATGTTTGAACAGCTTCTTTGTTCAAATAGTATTTTGCCTGAAATTAAACAAGTACAGTGCCTTGCAAAAATATTCATACCCCTTGAATTTTTCCACATTTTGTCACATTACAACCACAAACTTAAATGTATTTTATTGGGATTTTATGTGATAGACCAACACAAGGTATCGCATAATTGTGAAGTGCACGGAAAATGATACGTGGTGTTCAAGATTTTTTACAAATAAAAATCTGAAAAGTGTGGCGTGCATATGTATTCAGCCCCCTTGAGTCAATACTTTGTCATGGCACCTTTCGCTGCACTCACAGCTGCAAGTCTTTTGGGGTATGTCTCTACCAGCTTTGCACATCTACAGACTGCAATTTTTGCCCATTTTTCTTTGCAAAGTAGCTCCAGTTCAGTCAGATTGGATGGAGAGTATTTATGAACAGCAATTTTCAAGTCTTGCCACAGATTTTCAATAGGATTTAGGTCTGGACTTTGACTGGGCCATTCTAACACACGAATATGTAGCTCTAGCTGTGTGTTTAGGGTCATTGTCCTGCTGGAAGGTGAACCTCCGCCCCTGTCCCAGATTGTCCCACCTGAGCTGTGGATCTCTGCATCTCCTCCAGAGTTACCATGGGCCTCTTGGTTGTTTCTCTGATTAATGTTCTCCTTGTCCAGCCCGTCACTTTAGGTGGACGGCCATGTCTTGGTAGGTTTGCAGTTGTGCCATACTCTTTCCATTTTTGGATGATGGATTGAACACTGCTCCGTTAGATGTTCAAAGCTTGGGGTATGTTTTTATAATCCTGCTTTAAACTTCTCCACAACTTTATCCCTGATCTGTCTGGTGTGTTCCTTAGTCTTCGTGATGCTGTTTGTTCACTAATATTCTCTAACAAGCCTCTGAGGCCTTCACAGAACAGCTGTATTTATACTGAGATTGAATTACACACAGGGGGACTCTATTTACTAATTAGGTGACTTCTGAAGGCAGTTGGTTGCACTGGATTTTATTTAGGGATATGAGAGTAAAGGGGGCTGAATACATATGCACGCCACACTTTTCAGATTTTTATTTGTAAAAAATCTTGAACACCACATATCATTTTCTGTCCACTTCACAATTATGCGATACCTTGTGTTGGTCTATCACATAAAATCCCAATAAAATACATTTAAGTTTGTGGTTGTAATGTGACAAAATGTGGAAAAATTCAAGGGGTATGAATATTTTTGCAAGGCACTGTAGTTGTTGATTTATTCTTGATCGCTTTTTTGTTGCAGTATGTTTTGATAGTATACAATCTTAAGTACCCGAGCACACATCAGAATCAATTCAAGAAATGGATTGGAGCCAATTTCATAAAGATAGGCTTTGAATACAGCTGAACTCTTAACTAAGAGTCTCTAACTAATTAACTCTAAGTAACTCTTAACTAAGAGCTCAGGCCGATGTCTAAAATTCATCCTCGCCTTGAATTCTGGGTAAATTGAGACTTTTTCCTTAAAAAAAAAAAAACTGAAGGATTGGATTAGATTAAACTAATCTAAGAGTAAAATGAAGACCATCTTAACACTACTAATCAGTCTAAAATCATTGTGAAATCAGCTCTAGAACTCAAAATATTTCCGCCGTGGAGGCTGTTTTTTCCACAAATGAATCAAAACACAAAATGTTAGTGTCTGATAAAAGAATGAACAGATGAATGGATAAAGAGACTTTTCTTGAAGACTAAATTGGCTTCTGGAAACCCCCCTCTCTTTTTCCAGGTCGTCTTCAAACGGAGGCTGACCGTCATACACAAAACATCAAGAACCGTGACGCTCAGGTGAGAGAAAAAAAATTGCGTCCATGAACTCGTATAGAATTTTAAAACATTTTATGTGACTACTCGTCTCTTTCTCAGGTTCGCTCGTTGTCAACCTATCTGGAGCTGGAGGGCTATGACAGACCACCCTTCGCCACTCTGCAGCTTGAAAGCTTTCACCATCTTGTCACTCAGAGACTGGAGCAAGAAAAAGATGCAGTCAATCAGGTTTTGGTAAGAAATGTTTTGCTTGACCTTAAAGCAACAACAACAACAAAATCACACTACCAAAGTCGTCTCCTCATGCTGTGACTTATTTCTTATACTACCCTAACCTTCTAATAGCAACAGAACTGATTAAGATTAATATATTCAAGATAATTTAAGAAAATATCATGTTATTATTTTTGCTGTTATTATTATTTTACATTTTTATTAAGACCTGTGAGAAAGATTTTCAAACGTCAAGTCAGATCTTGAATGATTGTGCTATTCATGATTGCAGTCCCTGATTTCTTGCTCTTATTACTTCCACTCAGACGGACCTGCATGATAAAGAGCAACAGAAGCAGCAGTCCATTGATGAAATGAGGGATAAGAAGACTGGCCTGGAGAGAACAGTAGAGCTTAAGAAAGACCTGCAGGGAAGGAGACAGCAGGATCTGAGGAATGTCAAAGCAGAGCTGCAGAGACTAGAGTGTTCGTCTAGTCGCCTGCAGGAGCTGGAGAATGAATTGGCTAAAGCGGTGTGTATACAAACATGGACATGCCAGGGGATTCTTAGGTTTGTGGCACACCAAGTTGGCCACCGTCGGCCATTGGTGAGCATCTGTCAGGGCTTGTCTTCCTCGTGTGTCTCGCACCTTTGGCAGTAGTGGGACCCTGTCGGCAGCTTTTCAGCCAATTCGGTGTGTTGAACTGGTGTTGGACCTCATCGGCGAGAGAGACCACTTTGATTGGCTGTTTGTCTTAGCGCAGTTTCTCCTTGTTTTCAACTCTGCAGCCTCCTTTCTTCTTCCACAATCAAAAGACCAAGGGGAGAGAACGGCAGTGCAATTTGCAACTTCTTATCAGACGTATTCTCATTTAGAATCAGCTATAAACAGCAGCTGTGTTGAATGAGAGATGCTTTATTTACACTTGGATTTCCGCTGTCTAGCTTTTCTTCTTTCCATTTCTGAATGGTGAATACAGATACTTCCACCTGCTGGTAGGGGGAGATATTTATGTCACGCAGGCGCAGAAGGTACATGCTAGTCGGCCGTTGGTTGTAGTTTGTGCAGTGTGTTCAAATGCCACTTTTTCAGCCCGACTGGCCCCGAAAAAGGTGGCGTGAGGCGACGCAACAGTTAGCCTTTGTTACTGCTAGTTCTTTCACGCTGTCTGTGTCTCTTCCCTTAGGTGTGTGACACTGAACAGGTGGTCACTGATGATAGAAACCCCACATTTGCTGTTTTCTTTAAGTCACCTCCCTTTTTTCATCTGCATAAGTTTGTAAAACACTGTATTAATGATCAGCTGTATGGACATGTACATGTATACAACCACTGAACTGTAACATAGAACTCATATGGTGCCTTGATTATACTCTTTTGATTATATGACTTTGTGTGTGTATTTCTCTTTAGGAGCGTGACTTGCAGAGCACAATGCAGAAATCCACCGTGGATGATCTGAAGGCTGAGGTCGTGGAGCTCCAGAAAGAAAAGGCTGAACTTGACCGTGTACAGAGACGACTCGACCAGGAGATGGAGATGCTCAACACACACACCGCTGCACGCACGCAAATGGAGATGCTGAAAAAAGACAAGGTTGTTAATATTCACGTCTGGCCTATTATCAGGCTAGAGCCCTTCACACTATGAAAATGTTACAAATCACCATAAACACAAACTGCCCTACTATACTGTCTTTCTGAGTGAACCTTTGTGGTAATTTAACCTTGTTTGTTCATCTCCTCTCTCTCTGTCTTTTTTTTCCTCTTCATCTTTTTCTTTTCTGTTACTGGCCTCCATCAACTTTTCTTTTCTCCTCTGTCTATACTGTCTGCTTTCTCCAGACAGAAAAGGAGGAGCAGATACGCAGGATCAAGTCTCGTCACAGTGAAGATCTTGTGTCATTATTGGGCCACTTCCCCAACAAGAGAGAGCTGGAGGATTGGCTCTATGCCAAGTCTAAGGAAATCAACAGTACCAGGGAACGACTTGCCAAACTCAAGTTAGTAAGATTTGTTAGCATTAAAGAATTAGATTTAGAAGTGTTGGCACTGACTAGTATTATGTTTCTTAATTTTTCTCAGTAAGGACTTAGCATCAAATGAGCAAAATAAAAGCCACATTGCTGCTGAGCTGCGTAAGAACGAGCAGCAGTTAGCCAGAGAACAAGAGAGGTTCTTCAGTGTGTGTGGCAGTCAGGATCTGGAGCAGGACCTGTCGAAACTGCAGGAAGATCTGGAGAAGACATCTAAACAAAGAGGTGAATGCTACAAGATAAAAATGGAAGAATGACAGGCGACCTTGGAGATTTAAGATACCGTCCTTAAACCCTGTGAAATGTTGTTCCTCGTCTCTTTATATTCATTTCCTGTTACCTCTTTAATGTCAACTTTCAATGGGATAGATAGGGCAAGAGATGGTGTTAATGTGAGTGACATTAATAGTAGTCTAGACTTGGAGAAAACCTTACAGACAGGTGAGACGATACTGCCTGGCCACATTAATAGTCCCACCTGTATTATATGCCATCAGTGCAACACTTCTGCTTTAACATCTGTCTTTATTAAACTCTAAATGTTTTTGGTGAAATTGTCATAAAAGTATTTGTTTATTATTGTGGTCATAGTTAAAGGTAGTGTTGTACTGGACTACATTTTATTCCCAAGATTAAAAATTAAATGGCTAGAAATGAGAATGCTATGGACACTTTAAGCTACAAAGCATTTATGTTATTTTTATTGAAAATTATGTGATATGACTCCTGGCATGGATGACGTTACAGCCAGTACTAGAATCTCATTTTAATCTTGTAATTGTCTTCTGCTGTCTCTCTTGTCAGTATTGGTTGAGTTGATCTCAGTGTTTATTGCAGAGCAACAATGGAGCTGATGACTGCACACACACAGGTCTAATTCTAGTAGTAGGTATATTGATAAAAGTGATACAAATGAATATAGATGTATTTGTTTTTTTTGTATAGCCATGCTAGCTGGTGCCACGGCAGTGTACACTCAGTTCATCAGCCAGCTCACAGAGCAGAGAGAGCCCTGCTGCCCTGTGTGTCAGCGTACATTTCCTTCAGAGTCTGATCTGCAGGAAGTTATCAGTGACATGCAGTCCAAACTACGCCTGGTGCCAGACAGGCTAAAAAACACTGAGCAGGATCTGAAGAAGAAAGAGAGGAAGAGGGATGAGATGTTGGCTCTCAAACCTGTCAGGTAAAGAATAACAAGTGTACCTGACTATTGTGTCATGAAATGTCAAAAAATTGATGAATTTAGTTTAAGTTATATCAATGGCAGGATTTTTGTTCTACCTTAGAATGTGGCTATTTTGTCTTCAGGATATTATTATTGATTCATCTGTCAAATTCCACTGGATGGAGCTAGATTACCATACAAGTGAGATTTTATCCTGGCTCTGTCCACTGTCTCTTCATGACCTGAATAAAATCCCACAAATGAGCGGGTAGTTACCTGGCTGACATTCTGTTAGTTTTATATCTAACCTTTCGGGAAGGTGGTTGATATTCAGAAGAATTTAACTGATTGAAATGGTCGAGTCTGGCTCATTAAAAAGAAATAATAATATGGCTACTGAGTTGTCACATGGGGAACCACAGGAACTGTGACTGATCGGCATGGGAAATGACCCAGCCACATACAGTGCCTTGCGAAAGTATTCGGCCCCCTTGAACTTTGCGACCTTTTGCCACATTTCAGGCTTCAAACATAAAGATATAAAACTGTAATTTTTTGTGAAGAATCAACAACAAGTGGGACACAATCATGAAGTGGAACGAAATTTATTGGATATTTCAAACTTTTTTAACAAATAAAAAACTGAAAAATTGGGCATGCAAAATTATTCAGCCCCCTTAAGTTAATACTTTGTAGCGCCACCTTTTGCTGCGATTACAGCTGTAAGTCACTTGGGGTATGTCTCTATCAGTTTTGCACATCGAGAGACTGAAATTTTTGCCCATGCCTCCTTGCAAAACAGCTCGAGCTCAGTGAGGTTGGATGGAGAGCATTTGTGAACAGCAGTTTTCAGTTCTTTCCACAGATTATCGATTGGATTCAGGTCTGGACTTTGACTTGGCCATTCTAACACCTGGATATGTTTAGTTTTGAACCATTCCATTGTAGATTTTGCTTTATGTTTTGGATCATTGTCTTGTTGGAAGACAAAGCTCCGTCCCAGTCTCAGGTCTTTTGCAGACTCCATCAGGTTTCCTTCCAGAATGGTCCTGTATTTGGCTCCATCCATCTTCCCATCAATTTTAACCATCTTCCCGGTCCCTGCTGAAGAAAAGCAGGCCCAAACCATGATGCTGCCACCACCATGTTTGACAGTGGGGATGGTGTGTTCAGGGTGATGAGCTGTGTTGCTTTTACGCCAAACATAACGTTTTGCATTGTTGCCAAAAAGTTCGATTTTGGTTTCATCTGACCAGAGCACCTTCTTCCACATGTTTGGTGTGTCTCCCAGGTGGCTTGTGGCAAACTTTAAACGACACTTTTTATGGATATCTTTAAGAAATGGCTTTCTTCTTGCCACTCTTCCATAAAGGCCAGATTTGTGCAGTATACGACTGATTGTTGTCCTATGGACAGAGTCTCCCACCTCAGCTGTAGATCTCTGCAGTTCATCCAGAGTGATCATGGGCCTCTTGGCTGCATCTCTGATCAGTCTTCTCCTTGTATGAGCTGAAAGTTTAGAGGGACGGCCAGGTCTTGGTAGATTTGCAGTGGTCTGATACTCCTTCCATTTCAATATTATCGCTTGCACAGTGCTCCTTGGGATGTTTAAAGCTTGGGAAATCTTTTTGTATCCAAATCCGGCTTTAAACTTCTCCACAACAGTATCTCGGACCTGCCTGGTGTGTTCCTTGTTCTTCATGATGCTCTCTGCGCTTTAAACAGACCTCTGAGACTATCACAGTGCAGGTGCATTTATACGGAGACTTGATTACACACAGGTGGATTCTATTTATCATCATTAGTCATTTAGGTCAACATTGGATCATTCAGAGATCCTCACTGAACTTCTGGAGAGAGTTTGCTGCACTGAAAGTAAAGGGGCTGAATAATTTTGCACGCCCAATTATTCAGTTTTTTATTTGTTAAAAAAGTTTGAAATATCCAATAAATTTCATTCCACTTCATGATTGTGTCCCACTTGTTGTTGATTCTTCACAAAAAATTACAGTTTTATATCTTTATGTTTGAAGCCTGAAATGTGGCAAAAGGTCGCAAAGTTCAAGGGGGCCGAATACTTTCGCAAGGCACTGTAAAAATTACTGCAGGTAGTGCAATGTAGGCCTAACTTCACAAAGGTTTATTCAGCTACTGTACAATGCTGACAAAATACTAAAGTACAGCTAAAGCTTATATATGTAAGGCTCCTGACAAAGGATCTCCCAGTTCTCCCAGGTCATTTTTCACAGAAACACCTTTTTATATTACAGTCCACACCAACAACACAGTAGTTTTGGAAAATAACTAAGTCAGGTTTTAACTTGAAGATACTGGTGAGGACATGTTGAGTTCACCAGAGTCACTTTTATCACTGACTTTATCAACCCAGTGCCTCTATGTTACTTTCTGCCAGCTTGGTTGAGCTTGTGAAATGTCTTGTGAAAGGGGCTTTACTCAGGATTTCTGTTCTTACACAGGACCTTTCCTTTTTCAGTGTGGTAACTGCTTGACGGACCGGCCTGACAACAACACAGGGACACCCTCCTGTCACAGACATAAGTATGGGAGCGAAGGTCAGACATCCTCCCATTTCTTCCTCCAGCACTTCATGAATGAAATCCCTCCCTGCTGAGCGGTGAGTCCCGGATATCGTTTAGATTAAGTCTGCAGTCCTCCATGTATTCTCACTTGTGTTTGTTTTATAATTGATTTATTCATCCACTTTTCTTTCAATAATAAACTATTTAATGTGCAATTCCTGTGAGTTCCTGTGATGAAAGATTCATACTGTCGATTTTTAGTTTTCACCTACACTTTAAAAGTCTTCATCTGAAAGCACTGGTTTGGTTGGCGCAGTAAAAACAACATTTTCCTGTCTGGTTTTCTAATATAAAATATGAAGAATATTTAATTTGACTGATGAGGGTCATTATTATAAAGATAGTGTTTTTGTTTGTTTGGTAAGTACATGTTAAGTACATCTTGTCAGTCAGAATGAAATATCCTGATGTAGAGTACTTTGAAAAGTGCACTCATATGTCATCATAAACCACATTATTATGATTTACCATTTAGATTCATTCTGAAGATGTTAGATATTACCAGGCATCTGAGGAAAAGTACAACCGGGTCATGTACAAACAAATGTTTTCTTTTTCACAGATTTGACACCACATAAAAAAGAAGACAGTTAAAAAAAGGGGAAGTGGCAAATTTACTGAATCTCAAAACTCAAAACTGCTTTGTGTGGTCACACAGCTTTCTCCTTCCCATTTTTATTCAACCACCAAACCTACAACTGCTTTTAAGAGAAGCACATTAAATCACATTTTTGACCATCTTTCCCACATTTTCACACCGACTCATCTATCTGGGTGAAACAGACCAAAATGCCACTGAAGCAAAATGACATGTTAAACATGACGACCAACGTTTACCATCCAACCTGACAGCACTGGAGAGGATCTGCAAGGAGGAATGGCAGAGTATCCCCAAATGCAGGTGTGAAAAACTTGTTGCATCATTCCCAAAAAGACTCATGGCTGTATTAGCTCAAAAGGGTGCTTCTACTAAATACTGAGCAAAGGGTCTGAATACTTATGACCATGTGATATTTCAGTTTTTCTTTTTTAATAAATCTGCAAAAATGTCAAACATTCTGTGTTTTTCTGTCAATATGGGGTGCTGTGTGTACATTAATGAGGAAAAAAATGAACTTAAATGATTTTAGCATATGGCTGCAATATAACAAAGAGTGAAAAATTTAAGGGGGTCTGAATACTTTCTGTACCCACTGTATAGCAAAACCTAAGTCATAGGTATTCTAAACCCCTGTGTTAAGTATAAATCTAGTTAGTATTCATGGGACCCCCTCCTGTGTTCTGAGTGAAGTGTTTCAGGTGTTGCTTCGTGGCAACAAACCCTAGATACTTCAAAAGAGTATGTTAAAATTCATGGCATAGTAGAATTTTCAAGTGGACATCCATTTAGTCATGTATGGGAGGCTTCAGAGGAACCTGTTCCCTGAAAAACCACAAGGCATCAGAAACTCCTTTACTCTTTGCTCAAAGTATATTTCTTTTCTTTTTCCTGTCTCCCAGACTGGCAATTGAACAGTTGCAGGAAAAGGAGGTGCCTGAGCTGAAAAACCGTCTACACACAGTGAACAGAGAAATCGAGAGACTGAAGGATGATTTGGAGGAGCAGGAGACTCTGCTCAGTACTCTGATGTCAGAGGATGAAACAGTCAAAGCCTGCCAACAAGACATTTCTCTCATGGACAGATACCTGGTACCATCCTCCTGCTTTCTCAGTCTTTGAGACCACCTCTGTCCAACCTGTACATTCTGATCCTCAGTAAAGACACAACCAGTTTCTGCCTCTACTGCTTTCATTTTTACTCTTTCTTCCCTTTTAATCTTTACACCCTTTTTGTCTTAATCCGCTCTTCACCCAGAATGTTTTCCTTGGTTCCCTGTCAGCACTGTTTCTCATTTTCGCAATTTTCTGATTTGTCAGAGAAGAAACGTGATTTAATTGGCATTTGAGTTGTGACACTGACATAATCATCACACTAACACACTTATAAAGTCCCAAAAATTGCTGTACCCTCCGGTCTTGTACATAATTTTTTCTCTCCAGATGGACCTTAAAGAGGTGGACAGGAAAATAGCTCAACAGGAAGCCAAACTCCAGGGGGTAGACCTGACCAGAACCATCCAGCAAGTCAGTCAGGAGAAACAAGAAACTCAACTCAAGATAGACACCAGTAAGATGACATAATACAGGCACACCCATTTAGAGGGACATTTATTTTTATTACAGTGTTGATCTTCTGTTGTAGTTTCACCATCTCTTCTTGGTCACTTGTTTTATCTTGAACTGCTGAGATGTGATCCCCACATGTTTGACGCAAAGTCAAAGTCGTACAGATCATCAGGTTAAACAAGACTTTTTTTTTTTTTTTTTTAAAGATGTTTTCTTTTGTTCTCGCCTGTTTGTGTCCTTGCAGCCTCCAGCAAGATGGAGCTCAAACGTAAGCTGATTCAGGACCAGCAGGAGCAGATTCAGGCACTGAAAAGTGCCGTGAATGAGACGAGAGCTGAGAAGCTCCAGCTGAGCAGTGATCTGCAGAAGCAGCAGCAGCTGGCGGAGCAGTGTGTCGAGTTCACCGCTGAGATACAGGCTTTAACCAGAGACATCAGGGTACTTTTTGTTTGTTTGTTTGTTTATGCAAGCTTCTTCTGAGAAGTTGTAATATAATTTTCATAAATGGTCACTGTGTATGGCCTGCATTGATTCACTTTTTTATATGTGCACAATAACAGTAATGCTGTGGTGTTTATGTTTCACTGTACTTTTAGTTCACCTCTTTCCATGTTCTTGTTTACTTCATTTCTTTTACAGTAAAATAAGAATGTCTGTTCCCTATAAATATGCCATTTTGTCCCTTTTCCCCTACGATGTGTCCAACTAGGAAGCAAAGGAACAGCTGTCCCCTTTGTCTGCTGCTTTAGAGAAGCTGCAGCAAGAGAAGCAGGAGCTGATGGTGCGCAAGAGGGAGAGGCAGGAAGAAGGACAGGAGAAGGTGGATACATTCTCTCTTCTGTCTTTGTTTCACTGCACTTGTGTTCTTTACTGAAAGCTGCATGAATTCTGCAACAGTGGCTTTACTCACATGGCAACGGGACAAGGTAGATTATGACTGGATATATTTAATATTGAGATATTAATAGTCAACAGTGTTTTAAGGAGCTTAGAAGGTTATAAAAATATATACTGTTGTGGTTCCATAGTTTAAGAAATGGTACTAACCAGGTCATATCCTGATAATGATTGAAGTATCACGGGGAATTGTTTACAAGCAGTTGTGAACTACTTGTGCTACATATGACTTTTTGGATGCCTACTCAGTCTTGTCACTATTCTAACACTCACTGACAGATCGGTGCTATAAAAGAGAGAGTGAAGGTTATCACCACGCTGGAAAAAGACATCAACAAATACACAGATGAGGGCAAAGATGAGTACAAAGAGGTAATAGGTTTTCCACTATCCTACTAGATACATGTGTTTGTTTGTTTTCTGGTTCCTCCATGTGTCATTTTGTCATGGACATTGCATACATACATTTACTATGCACAGTAAATGTATGCTGTCTTTATTCACTTTGAAACACCTGCTTAGTTTGCCCATTTCTTCACATGACCTTATCATTATTTTTGTTGATATTATCTGTATAAGTTTGACTAAAATTGTATGATTGATGATTTGTGAAATTATTGAACATCTGCTCCTGTTTCTCTTGTAGCAAAAAGAGTCTGAGCTTCAAGAAACTAATACTCATCTACATGAGGCTGAGAAGCATAAAGAGAAGATCAACAAGGAGATTGGAAACATTCGCCAGGACATAGATACCCAAAAGGCACAGCCTCCTGCTTCATTATTGTCATATTTAATGTTTTTCTGTCTCTGGTCTTCCATTTTTATTGAAAGTTACAAGTTCAGTCCATGATTGTACCGGCGAGGGCAGTGGAACACTCTTCTGTATGGTCTTTAACTAAAACACCTACTTAGAGATGGGTATTGCCCCGGCAGGTTTCTGCTGTAGGAACATGTAGAGAGACATTGCACAAGTACTTTTGATAGTAGTTAATACATTTGTACCTTTTTCATATTTCTTAGGTCCAGGAGCGTTGGTTGCAGGACAACCTGACGTTGAGGAAGCGTGTTGAGGAGTTGAAGGAGGTTATGGCTCAACATGAGGCTCGTTCAAAAGAAATGGGCAATATGCAAGTGTTGCAGCTGCGCCGGTAAGAGCACTGTACCATTATCATTCATGTGTAAGATCACTGAGTTTGATAGCATGATAAAAGGGGCCCAAGCTGTACAGAGGTTAAGTGTTCAAGATAGCCCCAGTCTCCTTTATCTCAGAGCTGTCACACTTGTATCTGTAAACCATATTTTCTACTGGGCACAGCGGCACAGAATGGCAGCATCACAGCAGCCGGAGCTGATTGCTGCCACTCTATCCTAAACTGC